TGAAGCGAGTCGGAAAAGTGCGTGACCGACCGACCGGTCGGTGCACGTTGAGCTGGAGCTCATCACGAAGTAAAGGATCATTCCCAGTAGGATCATTGTCACGAGTGACCCCTTTCACATTACTGTCACATTGTAATTTGATTCATAGTTGTATTAAAACTGCACGCTGCTTTAAAATCCTCTTCCGGTTGTTTTTTTTGTTAATTTTCTGAGTAACACGAAGCTGCACTCTGTCGATGTTCTGCACGTCGTCAGCAGGGTTTAGATCATAAACTCACATCTCGCTCTGCAGGTTTGACCTTTTACGGCCACTTTAAACGTAGTCCTGCTGTGCTCTGACACGGCATTAACCTCAGAAATGACTCGTTCAGCTGCATGTGCCACCGGGGGCTGCGTTTAATATTAATTTGTGAAATGACTGAGTCAATGCCGCTGAAATGACTTGATCACGCGTTGTTTTTCATGTCTGTTGAGGTGCACTAGATGTCCCTGTTTTACCCTCAATGAGCTTTGCCCCACTAACTAATTAAATTTGCTTTAAAGGTCTGAAACTCACTGCTGATTTTTCAATATGAAAACAGTCTTCTCACAAAAAAGTAAACCATAATAATAACCATCGTTAATAATGAATTAAATACTTAATAATTCAAATTGAATTGGTGGAGTCGACCACACTTTATTAGGTAGTGATTTAGATCAACAAACAATTACGTTATTGTAAATTAGCTTATATTTGATGAGATAAGGCCTCACGTGCAAACTATAACTTGTAATACAAAAATCCTTATTATTTTAGGTGATCAACTTGGTGAGATGTACATCTGAATTATTTTTTTTATCCCATTTACCTTCGGGCTGCCCCCTAAAAATAAGCACATTAATTAAAGCAATTATTGGTGAACATTATTTCTCCGCATGCGTGTTCAGCATTTACAATGTTTATGGTGTTGTGCGAAATGATCCGTGTCACCCATAACGTGGTCGTTGGTTTTGCAGTTGATCGCCTGCAGGCCAGCGAGCTCTTTGGATGATTTACCTCCTCCGTGGACTGGTGGGTGGGGGCGGGAGCGGGATGGGAGGGAGCTGCCGGCCTGCCTGGTGCACGGGGTGGGGGGGTCAGCAGCTTTAATAGATCAGCAATCTGCAATTACACAGCAGCCTTTCCAGTGGGACGGCTCGCTTCAGCCACGTTGGAGTTGTTGCTCCAGTCTTGTCCAGTCACGCTGGTAAAGTGTTGATTTGGATCCATTACCAGTGATCGTTTGGCGGTTGTGGGTTCCTGCATTCTGGCATTTGGGATACGATTGCGATCCCGGCTGTAATTCAGATGGATGTCCCCTGTCTAAGAATGTGACCTCCTGATGACAGGTACAAATATATTCATGGATTTATCGCACCCTAAAGCCTCATTTGCCATCCTCACAGGCGGTTTGTTGTTTTTCCATGCCAGCCTCCCTCCCTGGGATGGTTCTGCCCGCCGTATTATGTAAATCCCCCGGGAGGCACGATGCAAACATTCCTGGTGACTTAGCCGAGGCGATAAAAATAAAGTCCCTCAAATGATTGTTGCACAAGTCTCTTTTTTTTGCAGGTGCAGGAAGAACTTTCCTCCATCATGCTATCGTTACTGAAAACGAGGTGGGGGGGGTTGTGTTCCCTGCTTTCTCAGTACTCTATTCCCGTCGTCCAACGGAGCCCCGAGCCAGATGGAAGGGCGGCGTTCCACCGCGCGCCGCTCCAACCCAAACATCTGCCTGGCAGCGGCCGAGGCCTTCTCGGCTGAGAGGAAACACAGGCCCGCTCTGTGCGAGGCCGCTAACCAATGGTTCCTCTGTTTGAGGACACACGGCACACTGAACTCCTCCCTGATCTCTACGTACTGGAAAGAAACTAAGGAGTGGCGGCCGACTGCGAATGTGGAGCTTCACTTCTTGCTTTCTATTTCATTTACTGAGGACTCCGCCATGGTGAGAAGCTGCTCTGAAGGCCTTGTCCATGTCGATATTTAATATCCATATGATTGAACTGCACATTGATCATTTCCGCTGTTCTTGTTGAAATGTGTAACTGTTGTAATGTGCTGTGTGTTATTTCAGGCTTCTAGAGAGCAACAAGAAAGGTGCGTAAACTGATTCATGAGTCATCAGGTGAAACAAAACAGTTTCTGCTTAGTTGAAGTTAAAAAAACTTGGATAAATTAAAAAAAAATAGTTTTGGAATATAATTGGGTGATTTGAGATTATTGGAAAAACAGTTTTTAACCTAATTGAAAATGTTTAGTTTTCTTATAAAATAGACGTTGGTTTAAAAAAATGATACGTGTAGTTATCATTCAACTTTTTTTAATTGACGGTTTTTGAAGTACTTCCTTATTGCTGCATTCTGCTTTTTAATCTTCTAAACACTTTTAAAATATGTATCTTTTTTAGAGAAGAAGCCTTTCTGATAGAGCAGGATCCATTCAGAGGAAATGCTTATAAGCTCATCGTTAAAATGACTCAGCTGACTTCCGAAGCTGGTGGTGGTACCACACATCTACTGGATGAGGTATGTTTGATGACTCTTTTTCAAATGCACTGCTTTAATCACATAAATATTACGTGTCAAGAATAAAAAATGACACCTCTTTGAATGTGTTGTGACTCCACAGATGCTTCACAGCATCTTCTGTTTGGGGAAAGTCAACGAGCCGACGTTTTCTCCAGAAAGCATCCTGCTGGATACTCCAGAAAGCGTCGTGACGAATAAGAAGTTGCTGGATGAGAAGAAGGAGTCGTCGTTAACTGTGTTGAGGGAGTTGTTCCCTCGGGCCTTTGAGCTCTTTTCCTCCCACCTACCCAGACGGAGTCCATTTTCATGTGTGCTGGACATGGTAGGATCATAGTTTTTCAAAAAGATGATTAAATTCTTATTTTTAAAGATGCATAGAATATGTTACAGGCTATAATGACTCTACATTGTTGCATTTCACAATTACAGCATGACTCAGTAAATTTGTGATTGCTTGCAGATTGTCCTCCTGAAAGGACGAGAAGGAGAAATACTCAGTGGCCTACGAGAGCTCATCATTGGCCTGAAGCTCGGTGACTCAAGGGAGCTGATCTCCTCCACCCTCTGCGTCTCGCACAGAACCGACATCGATGATCCAGTCAAGTGCTACGGAGTCTCCATGTCCGCTCCTACTGCTAGTAGTCACGGACGTTTCAATCCTCGGCAGTGCGTCATCGCGGCGTCCTGTCTCTACTACTGGGACGAGTATGTAGCTGGTGCAGTGCTCACCTACTATTCAAAAAAGGAAAAGAAACCAGATAATGATGGAACCATCCAGCTTCCACAGTGGGTGAGGTGCCAGGCGTTTAGCCTCAGCAAGGAAGAAGAAACTCCTCCGTGCCTCTCATGTAGCAATTTGTTTGGTTTGACAACAGACTCTAAGGCTGTGTCGACCTACGGCAACTGTGCCGAGTCTGAAAGTTTGAGCAACTTGTTCAAAACGGACGGTCAGGTCAGACAGCAAGTACAACTAACATCTCCCGAGTACTCAGATCAGAGGAGGGACCACTATAAAAGGCAAACGTGTAAAGATCTGATAAATTGCCTGAAACACAAGGAATTTACCTGGAGGGAGGGAAATTTCTACATCCCCTCTTAAAAGGGAGAATGATTACATATCTTGTTGATGAGAAGGCCAACAATTCTTAGGATGATTACTTTTGATGGGGTTATGCCCCATAAAACAATGATGATCTCCCTGCATCGACAGTTACTGGGGAGCTGGTGGTTCAACGCTTGTTGTTAATGATCCAGGTACTTAATTATGATAAAGATAGGAATGCAAAGCAGGCAGAAGATATAAAGAGTTGATGCATTGATCATTTAAGTCACAATAAATTCATAAAGATTGCTAATTTTTTTTGTTTTTATTTACTCATCAGAAGAAGTGATTCTTTGCCATTTAACGCAGCACGTAGCCGGTGGCAGCCGACTTCTGGGGGGTCAGTTTAGAGTCCACAAAGAGGATCATTAATATCACCAGGGAGTATTTTCAACAGAAGAACATGTTCAGCTTTACGGATGCTGTGTTCACCACATACGTTACTTCACATTAAAAAAATAACAGCAGGTTTCCGTTTTTCTGTTCTTTGGCCGTTTAAAATACGGTTAATTTAGAACAGGAAAAGAAATGAACTCACCCTGAATTAAAATAAGGGGTGCATTTTTTCAGAAGCACAAATTCCTCACTTTCAGTAGATATTAGTACTTTACCGTATTTGTTGAGGGTTCTTCACAAAAAAAGAAAGTAAATTACTGTAAAGTTCATCTTTAGCCTGCGCATATAAAGCAGAAAGGACGTCACAGCTTCCGCCTGGCGCAGATACGGCTTCCGCTCACACGCTGCGCATGCGCAGTCTTTCCTGGTTTTAAACGATCACTCACGCGTCTTATTAAAGCCACTGGGTATTAAAACGTTCCAATGTTTGGACGTTTCGGTCAAATTACACTCAACAGTGTGTATCGTGAATGTAAAACATCCACCAGGACGCCGTATTACACTTCTGCGTCACATTCTCTTTTGCTGTCAAGGACGTGGTGAAATATCGGAAATAAGTACGAGCTGTTTTTCAGAGTGGCACACTGACGCAGAATCCAACTCTTCAGTCCTTCTAGTTAAATTGTTGAGTGTTTTATTTATTACGTGATACACATACCGTGGGAGCTGGAGGTACAACAAGTAGTGTGTATGGTCTAGACAAGTGACATAAAAGAATGGAGAGTGATTTTACATGACTTACAATAAACTGCATTTCAACCATAGGTGCATTTTAACCGTAAACAACCAGATCTACGGGCTAAATAAATGTATTTAAATGTGAAACGTCGAAGGCTTTGGCATCTTCTGTAATAAAGGGAAATTTACAATTGATTAGAAAAACAGAGTTCCTGTAATTTTCCGCGTTATGCCCTTGTAATTCCGATGCGCACTTGAACGCAGCACAGGGGTTTAAGGGCGGTGTCGCAATAGCGAATGTTCACTTCCGGTCTAGCAGCGACGGAGAAAACCCCGTCCTTAAACCAGGTACCAAGTCTACTCTTATTTCAATAAATGTAATACATGTTTAGTCTTAAAGGATTCCTCTCACCCTTTTGATCAATATATATCTTTTTTTTCCGGTCTGTTAAAACAACTTCGTCACGTTATCGACCATAATAAAACAACATGGTTACTTTCTGTTTTGTAAACATTGTTTTCCGGTGAAATCATTTTAATATTTGCGTGTACTTTTCAGATTGGAGAGGTTTAAGATTAGTGAGGAGAATAAAAGCGACCGTGGGGAAAGGCCCGAGTATTTTCCAGTTGAGTCATCTGTTCTTGTGATCACACAAAGGGCGAAGCCGAGTTTTTACAACGCTGTTATTCTACGTGCGAATCCAGAAATGTTCCGTTTTTAATAATTGTATCTGCTAAATGATGTGGCCAAATTGGTAAATTTGTTTGTACTTTTTGCATGACGTCATATGATGGGGAAAAAATCAAGTCCGTATATGGTTGATTTTTCTACCAGCTGGTATATTTTCTTCTTAGGGATGCATTATATTATTTAGCGTTTCCCCCGTGCTGTTCTTTTACCGTCTTATTTTGTTGTTTACTCGAGTACTACTGAGAACTACTTTTAACATGTATTATTTTGTTTTCTAAGTGCAGAGGAATGGCGGCTGTTCCAGTAAGCTCTCGGTAAGAACCAGTTTTTTATTTTTTATATGTGTATCATTAATAATTATCGAGCCCATGTTGACATATATAATGAAATGAGAAGCCTCCAACAGTGTAAATGTGTGGATCTAAGAAGACGCCAAGCAACACGATCTGGACAGTGTTCACATTTCTTCTGTGGAAACGTATGAAAATAAAAGATTGGTGTTTATCAATCGGTTATTTCAAATTATTTTTGTAACCAGGACACCATTATGCTACATTTCTTATATATTCTCTCCATTTTTACTACAAAATATTCTTCTCCATATGGTCCAGTAAATACTGCCGTGATTAACAACGTCTATATTACTTCTGTTCTTTTTTCTGACTCGCAGGTTTTTGGGTTTAGGGATTCAGCACGGCAAAGAGGAGAAAGGACAGAAAGGTAGACTGCACACACCTTCGCTTCACACATTGTACAATCTTCCTATGATGAGTATTTTCCAAATTTAATCAATACTTTTGGCATGTGTTGCAGATCCAGACTATCTGTCATCAATGTTGGAGCTTGTGTTGGAGCACAAAAATGAGAGGATCCCCTTGAATAACCCAGCTGGTGCCACTTTGACAATTGGAAACATCGATGAAACCATCTACAGAGGGAAGATGGACGTGCTGAATGGGTGGAACAAATTTTACCTTCCAGATATCGTAAGCATGCAGGTCTTGGGCGTAGTGACGGGGACTTCGTGCCCGGGGGACCATCTCGTTCTGATGACCTGTGAGGACAAAAAGCTGTACGCCTACGATGGAGAGGAGCTGCATTTGGTGGCTTCAAGCCTGGAGCAGCTACTCAAACAGGGAATCGAGTATCCAGCAGACAAGTCGTACTACAAAGGAGAGGCCTTCCCAAAGACGGTGAGAAGTTACAGTGATGTGCTACGAACAAATGAGTGATTCTGCACCCTGATGATTGGTCACCTGTGTGCACTGAGAATGTTTTCATATTTTAATATCGTCTTGTGTGTGTGTGTGTAACCCGACAAGGACTGGGAGAAAGTGAGGAAGGGCGCTGTTGGCAGACGATTGGACCAAGAGCATCAAAAACTGGTGACCGCAACCAAGTCAGAATTCCTGAAGAATCTCAGATCCATCCAAAAAGGTAGTTTTGTCTGCTGCAAAGTAAAGATTAAGATTGTATTGATATCTCTCATCAATCCACTCGTACATCACACATGAACGATCTCTAGAGTTGTTGGAATCACAAACCTGTGGCCAGTTATCAGCCTATTAAGTCAACTCTACCTTGACTAAAAACAAATTGTAGCACTTAAATTACACATTTATAAATTGTACTTATAATGGCTCTTATCTATAGCAAGTTGTAAATCGGTTTATTCAATGAAATTGTCTCGTTTCTTGTTCTGTGCCTTATGGTTGAAATGCAGAAATCAGGATCAGGAATCCGGAAACATTTATTGTCAAAATATGTCAAACATACAAGGAATTTGTCTTGGCGGTTGGTGCGTGACAGACAGTGTAACAATAGACAACACTTATTGTAAGTCGCTTTGCTAAATGACGTGTGATGTAACTCAAGTCAGTCTTTGTCTCCTCGGCTCCGCCCCCTTTGGTCACCACTGCCTGTTTATCTGATCACTTGTTCCATCTTAAGTTATATATGTTCATGTCATAATTATTTGCTATTGAGCCGTCTAACATGTTTCTTTTTTCTCTTCTCTCCAGCAACATGCAAATGATCACTTGTGTGGAGTGGTGTCGAATATGTAAATGTTTAAATACACACGAATATCTGAGGATTCTGCAATATAACTGTTGTGTTATGATTAAAAAACCAAATGTACATTGTCTTGAATTACATTTTTTTTTTCACAATTAAAATATTTTCTAAACCCGTGTGAGGATAAAATGCAAACCGACAAACGTATGATGAAGTTGAATTCTGTGACCAGCTTTATTACACAACAGAACTTCACCTTCAAACTCATTTAAATGCCGTTATTTGGTCGTCACATCTACATGAAATATAAAAACACGTTGCTCGAGGACGTCTACATTCTTATGTACCGGCATTACAACACGCCCCGCTAAAGCAGAACTCAAAGTTCAAACTAGATACTCTGATGGTGTACTAAGTTTCTACAACACCAGCATTTTAAAAAATTGTTTTAGTCCTGCAACTTCTCCGCCACGGTTGAATGAACCCACCGACGCAGACGTCCTGCCGCTGGGGCAAGATCATCATTTTGTTGTTCATGTTTTTTGGGGAGAAGTTCTTAAAGAAGAAGAGAGAATTGGCCAGTGTTGAGCAAACCAGTAACGACGGCATTCCAGTAGAACAAACACACTGAACTCCTCCCTGATCTCTACGTACTGGAAAGAAACTAAGGAGTGGTACCCGACTGCGGATGTGGAGCTTCACTTCTTGCTTTCTGTTTCATTTACTGAGGACTCCGCCATGGTGAGAAGCTGCTCTGAAGGCCTTGTCCATGTCGATATTTAATATCCATATTATTGAACTGCACATTGATCATTTCCGCTGTTCTTGTTGAAATGTGTAACTGTTGTAATGTGCTGTGTGTTATTTCAGGCTTCTAGAGAGCAACAAGAAAGGTGCGTAAACTGATTCATGAGTCATCAGGTGAAACAAAACAGTTTCTGCTTAGTTGAAGTTAAAAAAACTTGGGTAAATTAAAAAAAAAATAGTTTTGGAATATAATTGGGTGATTTGAGATTATTGGAAAAACAGTTTTTAACCTAATTGAAAATGTTTAGTTTTCTTATAAAATAGACGTTGGTTTAAAAAAATGATATGTGTAGTTATCATTCAACTTTTTTTTATTGACAGTTTTTCAAGTACATCTTATTGCTGCATTCTGCTTTTTAATCTTCTAAACACTTTTAAAATATGTATCTTTTTTAGAGAAGAAGCCTTTCTGATAGATCAGGATCCATTCAGACGAAATGCTTATAAGCTCATCGTTAAAATGAGCGAAGCTGGTGGTGGTACCAAACATCTACTGGATGAGGTATGTTTGATGACTCTTTTTGAAATGCACTGCTTTAATCACATAAATATTACGTGTCAAGAATAAATAATGACACCTCTTTGAATGTGTTGTGACTCCACAGATGCTTCACAGCATCTTCTTTTTGGGGAAAGTCAACGAGCCGACGTTTTCTCCAGAAAGCATCCTGCTGGATGAGGAGGTGTTAACTGAGTTGAAGAAGTTGTTCCCTCGGGCCTTTGAGCTCTTTTCCTCCCACCTACCCAGACGGAGTCCATTTTCATGTGTGCTGGACATGGTAGGATCATAGTTTTTCAAAAAGATTATTAAATTCTTATTTTTAAAGATGCATAGAATATGTTACAGGCTATAATGACTCTACATTGTTGCATTTCACAATTAAAGCATGACTCAGTAAATTTGTGATTGCTTGCAGATTGTCCTTCTGCAAGGACGAGAAGGAGAAGGAGAAGGAGAAATACTCAGTGGCCTACGAGAGCTCATCCTTGGCCTGGAGCTCGGTGACTCAAGGGAGCTGATCTCCTCCACCCTCTGCGTCTCACAAAGAACCGGCATCAGAAATCCAGTCAAGTACTACGGAGTCTCCATGGCCACTCCCAGTGCTATTGCTCCCAAAAAAGGTCCCTTTCCTCGGCGATTCGTCATCGCGGCGTCCTGTCTCTACTACTGGGACGAGTATGTAGCTGGTGCAGTGCTCACCTACTATCCAACCAAGCAAAGGAAACCAGATTATGATGGAACCATCCAGCTTTCACAGTGGGTGAGGTGCCAGGCGTTTAGCCTCAGCCAGGAAGAAGAAACTCCTCCGTGCCTCTCATGTAGCAATTTGTTTGGTTTGTGGACAAACTCTAATGATGAGTGGGTCTACGGCAACTGTGGCGAGGTTGAAAGTTTGAGCAACTTGTTCAAAAAGGAGGGTGACGTTAAACAGCAAGTACGACCAACATCTGCCGAGTACTCAGATCAGAAGAGGGAAAAATATAAAAGGGAAATGTGTAACGCGCTGAAAAATTCCCTGAAAGAAAAGAAATTTACCTGGAGGGAGGGAGATTTCTACATCCCCTCTTAAAAGGGAGAATGATAAACATCCTGTTGATGAGAAGGCAAACAATTCTTAGGATGATTACTTTTGATGGTTATTCCCCATAAAACAATGATGATCTCCCTGCATCGACAGTTACTGGGGAGCTGGTGGTTCAACGCTTGTTGTTAATGATCCAGGTACTTAATTATGATAAAGATATGAATGCAAAGCAGGCAGAAGATATAAAGAGTTGATGCATTGATCATTTAAGTCACAATAAATTCATAAAGATTGCTCATTTGTTTTGTTTTTATTTACTCGTCGGAAGAAGTGATTCTTTGCCATTTAACGCAGCACGTAGCCGGTGGCAGCCGACTTCTGGGGGGTCAGTTTAGAGTCCACAAAGAGGATCATTAATATCACCAGGGAGTATTTTCAACAGAAGAAGAACATGTTCAGCTTTACGGATGCTGTGTTCACCACATACGTTACTTCACATTAAAAGAATAACAGCAAGTTTCCGTTTTTCTGTTCTTTGGCCGTTTAAAATACGGTTAATTTAGAACAGGAAAAGAAATAAACTCACCCTGAATTAAAATAAGGGCTGCATTTTTTCAGAAGCACAAATTCCTCACTTTCAGTAGATATTAGTACTTTACCTTATTTGTTGAGGGTAAATCACAAAAAAATAAAGTAAATTACTGTAAAGTTCATCTTTAGCCTGCACATATAATAGAATGAAAAATTATGTTAATTAAGTAACTATAAATATTATTTCCTACATCATTCAGAAGGATGATTAGCATAAACCACTAAAAGCTCACTTCCTGTTTGGCTGAGTGGTGTTGATTCCAGGCCACAGACCTCATATAATATATCATAAAGTTAATCCGAAGGCTACAAATACAGGAAACAGTTCAAGGAACAACACAATTTGTAAATAGGATCATTGGAGTCACTGGTGAGCTTGATGGTAAATCTCCGTAAAAAGCCAAAGAACATTCTGTATCTATTCTGCTTTTAAAATCAGAGACACGCTTTCAGTATTTGATACAAATACAAACATATCAAACTGTTGATACGCCTCCTTCACAATGAGCGTAAGCTAGTGACGAGTCTTAACGAGGGATCTCATCACGTGCTTCGTTGTCTTAGAGGCACAGACGCACCACCAGATGGCAGCCCAACCTTTCTCCTGATGAAACAAGTGATCCACCTCACAGGGAGCTTCTTCTACCACCTTCACCTCCGGCAAAGCACAACAACAGAGACAAGACGCTCAGAGGAGAGACAGGAATCAGAGAGCAGCAGGAAGAGCAAATAACTCACGGCCATCCGTCATATTCTATATATATATATTTTACAGGTCATTTTAGCAGACGCTTTTATCCAAATTACATTACACTTTAAACCCATGGCTTTTTCACATTTTTGCCTGCGGAGCAATTAGGGGGTTAGGTGTCTTGCTCAGGGACACTTCGACTGGAGACATGGGGCAACTATATATATATATATATATATATTACACACACACACACACACACACACACACACACACACACACACACACATATATATACACACACACATATACATATATATATATATACACATACACACACACCTCTGAGACATCTAGCCTTTGTTTATATCTAAGACTTGACCAACATTATATCTTCCCCAAAACCCCAAAAAGTGATTTAGGGAAGTAAAAGTTGTTGTTTGTCTCGTTCTCAGTAGGCAGTCCGAGGGTTTTATTTGTCCGCTGGTTTTCATTTCATGGGGCAAACACAGGACAGTCAGTTATCAAAACTTTGGCCAAATGACCCTTTTCAGGGTACATGTGATAATGTTTAGTGATACAATTGTAGTTTGTATGTAATTAGTAGTTATTGTTGGGGGAGAATTTGTTGAGGTGCATATTGTGAGAGTCTCAAGAACTCGTATGTGACCTTTCTTGGGGAACTCGTGACCTGACCTAGTCTACGATGAAATCCATATGTGGCTTGGACAGACCATATCATGTTCTTCTATTTGCCTTTCTCCTCTGTTTTCCTGTCTGTCAAAATGATTGATTTGGTCCCACTAAGGGAGTGTCGCGGAGGTTCCCGAAACAACATCTGGTTACCATTCCTCGGACCTTCAGAGATGTATAAAAGCTCCTGGTTCCCCCCAGAAACTTTGTCAGATCTTCCTGCTCCTTTTGGGGGAAGGAACTTTCTGTCCCTTTTCAGCTGAATTGTAGTCATTTGACTTCTGTCTGTGCTTACGGCTTGTGCTGATGATCTCTGTATTCTTTATCATTTTTCTATATTCTTGTCAGTAATAAATACTTAATCACAAAGCAAGCTCAAGATACTTTTGATTTCTCACATGGGCTAGATCCACAAATTTCCACCACAAACTTGGCGACGAGGATGGGATGGACGCGTGATCTGGACTCTGACGGACGGACAGGAGGCCATATAGTATAGGTGATTCCTCCCTGAGGGTGAGAAGCTGCCGTCCCGACGAGACCCGGATTACCGATCCATCCAGTTCAAGGAAAAGAAACGAAGAACACGCGGTGAGAGATCAAAATTATTTTAAGGCAGACAGAGTCATTGACAAAAGAGTTTTAGGCCTATCTCACAACGAGTGTGTTGTAGACAGACGTGTCTGGGTCACCTGTAGTATTCGTCACAAAGTTGCAACATCCTGTGTCTGAAGTTCACAGGCGCGACTTTGGATCAGTGCAGTAGACTGAGTGACCAGAGAAAGCAACGGTCAACTGACTTGCCTTAGTTATGCATGTGGTATTTCTTTGTTTGTATGCACCTTTATAGGCGCGTACACTCCGGGTATACAGATACAGATAACTAAATGGGTAGTGTTCAGAGTAAAGGGGAGACGGGTGATAACCATGAGACTCATATCCTGCCACCATTGTGTAAATCTATGTCAGAGTGCTATCCTGACAGTTTGAATCAAATACAGAAATGGGTTGAATTGGGGTTCCCTTTAAAGGGAAGTTTGAGTGAGAATCAATTGGAACAGTGGGAATTGCAACTGAGGGAAAAGGAGAAGAACGATGCAGCTCAGCATGCAGGCCTGTCGGGAAGAAAGCAGAAGAAGAATGTGGTATTTAAGGCAGATTGGGAAGCTTTCAAGATGTGGAAGTATGAGTCGGAGAGAAGGGAGAGACAGAGGTTGGTAGCATTTCATTCATTAAAGACCGAAGATCCTACAAAAAGTCTTGAAATGTGTATCCCTTCTAACCCAAAAACACTTTATCCTTGTTTTTATGAGTTCCCGAGGAGATTGGTGGACACGGATCTGGACTTCCCCCCTCCCCTCACTGCTCCTCCAGCTCCAGTTTTCATGAGCCTGCAGTCTCCTCAGCAAGAAGCAGCACAAGCAAACCTTCCTCGGTTTGACAACAGCCCACCAGGAGGGAAGCCAGATTCAACCTCCAACACCAGCCAGACGACCTTTTCACCTACTGTGACCCGCTCGCAGGCTCAACAAAGGTGGGCCTTGCTCAAAAAAAAAAGAAAAAAAAAGAAAAAAAGAAAAAAGAGACGTTGTTCGATCCTGCAGCTTCTTTTCCAGTCGAGGGGCGGGCCGATGCTGGTTCTCAGACCCTGGTCAGATGCCAATGTGACCAAGGCAATGAGCCACGTCTGCAGTGCCAGGGACAATATTGCTAAGTGGGAGACTGATTTTCAGCAATTTGTCACAAAATACCATCCTAGCATGTCAGAGCTGCGGCGTCTGATGTGCAGACTTCTGAAACATGACTATCACAAAGTTCAGAGTGTGTTCAACACCACAAGAATGCCTGCTCGCCTGGAAGATCCTGATTGTGAGCATGGCACGGATGTGGACATTAAAAGTGCTATAGATGCTCTCATTGTGTTGGTAAAAGAAACTTTTCCTCTGAGACTGAACCTGTCCATCGTCACCTCTATGACACAAGGGCCACAAGAAACATGCAGCTCATTCCTGGGACGCCTGACGACAGCTTTTGACATCAACAGTGGCCTTAAGCTACCTGATCCAATGGGGGCACAGCCCCTGATGCCATATGAAGTCCATCTGAAAGAACATTTTATAGGCAGAATGAGACCTGAACTTAAACGGATGGTGAAAAGATCATGTGCAACCTGGAAAACGTGTGCTTTTGCAGACATCCTTCAGCACGCTGAACACGCTGAAGATGAGTTACACAAGAAAAAGGACAAACTAAAAGGTTTTGAACAGGCTCAGTATGC